TGATAACATCCAAATCAGTACAGTGAGAAAAAACAACAATATGACTCAAAATAACAACAACAATATATAAACACCTCAAGACAACAACCTTAAAACAGTAAATATGCTAGCAATATCTAACTCTAATACAATACAGGATCCACAAAACAAAATGAAAACTAACTCAGCCTCAACAATCTCTACAAACTATAATACTTCAAATATACTTACCTATAGCCAAGCCACAAAACAAAATCTTACTGGAAATCAAATGCAACTTGATGAAGATCCTATTTAAAAATGGCTAAAACATATATATGCAGAACTTAACAAAAAAATCTCACAACTATATGAAAAAACTATATAGTATTATAATAAATTTATTAACAATATGCAGACCAATACAGAAATATAAGAATTTATACAATACAAATTCAAAACAAAACTGACACAACAATATTTCTCTAACAATCTAAGCAAAATTCAAACACCTAGACCATACTTTCTTTCTTATATTTACTAGAGCAAAAAGATTTATGCCACAATGTCAGAATAAATATAATAAACTATTCTACAATGCACTGCAGGATTACAAAAGTGCAAACTAAATTACTATTACTAACAAAGAAACTAAAAATAATATATACCTAAAACTTTGACAAAAATTATTTCTTGATTTTATAACCAACACCAACTTTAGCAGCTGCCCTTCAAAACATATTATACAACTAATCAAATATTACAAAGAATTTATTAAAAACACAACCTTAAACACCTATAATGAAATTTAAAAGGCAGTTTAAGCTACAATAAATGAAAGATTACAACCTCTATCTAACCACTCTAATGATATTCCTGAACATATATAACAAATACTACTATTTATTCTGCTAATAAAAAACAAAGCACAAACAAAAACTATCATAACTGCTCTCTATTGCTTATACCAATTTGATAAACTATCAGAAACTACTTTATAAATTTCAATCTCCTTTCTACTCTTCTTGAAAGCCTCTATCTAGCAGAGTGTGAACTGTTTCCAATTACTGACAGATGAAGTTTGAGAGAACTTAGTTATTAGAAAGGACAACTATAACAATACTACAAGTTTACTTCAATCTCAGTTAATTATTTCAACCTGCTACCTTTCAAGCTACTTCTATCAGGAAAATTTTTTTGGTACAGATCTGTGAAAACCTGTGAAAATGCAGATTATTGCAGATTTTTTAATACAAATCTGTGCAAATATTCAAAAATGCAGATTATTACAGATTTTTTGTGCAAATCTTCAAATACACAGATTATTACAGATTTTTTAACTCAGATCTGTGCAAATATTCAAAAATGTATATCTGTGCAAATATAGATTTTTAAAAATTTTTTATTTAAGCAAATCACTAACTCTTCCTGACAATCACTTAT